CATTATTATTGTCTTACTTTTTATTTTATTTTACAGAATAACAGTAAAATTACAATACTAACATTTATGAATGTTGATAGAGTTCTTGCTTTTTCTCAACTTTTATTTTGGCGGAAACGCACAGGAAGACCTCAATGCTTCTTTTTGTTGACAACAGCAGATTTATAAACGATTCTCATTACGAATACGTTGTACGTATCGCATTGTCACATGCCTTGTAAAAGTTCATAAAAATGTGACTGAGCAACTGACAAGTAACACTGGTTCATCGCAGATTTTACTTGCGCTTTGGACTTTGAACCCTGGTTAACAAGCAGATAGCGCGGCGAGTTCGTGCAGTGCTGTCAGAATACATGCAATGCGTGCGTGTATTAGAAAACATAACGTTCTGCAGTTTATTTACTAATTGTTTAAGGCCATTTCGCGATTTCAATCATCATACGGTAACCAGCAACAATCACCCCTTCCTCTTCTCATTGAAGACATGCGATGCAGTACTAAACAGTCTCTCGCTGTCGGTGCTTGCAATGATTTTTGCGTCTTTCTCTGACAGTTTTAAATGCTTCCACACTGCTGACATGTGTGCTGCATTATAAAGAGTGCGCGCCTCTCACTCTTCGCTGGTTGCTATTTGATCGCGTCATATCATTGTTCGGTACAATTTATTCAGTCTTTTCGATTATTCGGCCGAACACCGAAAGAGCTTTTTTTGCTATTTTCATCTGAATAATTTCGGTTGCTGAAAATTCGGTGCATTCCTATTGTTAAGATTATTCAAAAATAGAATCAAAAATGATCAGAACGTTAATGGAGATGTATTTGATAACGGCTTTCAAGATTGCAACATTAAACATATACATACTGTATATACAGTATATGTTTTAGTTTTTTCGGAATTGCTATCAGATTAAGAAAAATGTAACCACTGACTTCTTAATATTTTTATTCTCATTTTATTATTTATGAAAGGTTTATCTACTAATACTAATACTGTAAAATTACAATAAATTAATAACAGTACTATTTCAACATATGTCTGAAGCATCAGTTGCCACCTATAACATGACTCGTCCAGTCACAATAATGCAATATTGATGAAGTATGATATATACTATTATTCCTAAAGAGCTAGAGTAAAATATATAGAAAATATGTTAAAGCATGTACTGTTCCTGTAGAATCTCTATAGCAGAAGAATCTCAACATAAGAAATCAGCGACTGAAGCATATTTTTCTTCACATGAAAACATTTTAAGGATCATGTGTGAGGGTTTTATATGATATTAAAGGTGCACTAAGCGATTTTTGCCAAACAATGTTGATATTTGAAAGCACCAAAACAAACACGCCCATACCCCGTCAGGACCTCGCCCCTATTTTGAAATCTCCGCCCCACGCGTACGTACGCAACCATGGCAACAACGATCACGGAAACAAGTGAAGATGACACACAAGCATATTCAAACAAAAGCCAACACGGATAAGTTGTGCGAAATCAACGTTACTCACCTATCAAGAAGAAAAAACAACGCAACCGCTGCGTCCGATTCCAGGCCTTCCCGCTCCTTGAGTTCTCTCCACCACTGGAAAGCTGCTCAGATATTTACGCGGGTCCTACCTCTTGCTTCTCTGATATTTTCCTCTTTTTTATCTGCCATCTCTCTCTATCTATAGTCGAGCTACTAATATCCGTCCTGTGCACTCAAATTGAGCGCTCTCTTCTCTCTATCATTGCAAGACACGCCCCCTTACTGCTGATTGGCTACAAGTATGTCGGTCCGACGCTGTGGTCAAAAGTGTTTTTCAAAAATCACTTAGTGCACCTTTAATGTTTGAAATGCCACACATAGAAATGTGTTAATTTATTCAGTAAAATCTCAAATGAAATCTGAAATTATTATCAGAACATTGATGGAAATGTCTTTGATTACTGATTTTAAGATTACAAAAAATACTTTCACGCATATCAAGAAAACATAACACATCCACTGATTTTTTTTAAAGATATTTTTGTATTCAAATTGTATTATTTATAAAAAATGTTTATTTAAAAACTAATGCCATAATATTACCATAACAGTATTATTATATTAATAATAATATTTCAACACGTGACTGAAGCATAAATTGACACTCTATAACATGGCGCTCTGGTCACAGTAATGAAATTACTTGACAATTAATTGACAAAGTATGAAATATATTATTATTCTTAAATGCTTAAAGTGCTAACTAGAGTAAAATGTCTAGCTAATACATTAAACCCTGTGTTGATCCTGTTGTGTGTAGCAGAAGAATCTCAACTTTAGACTGAAGTTTGTTTTTTAACAATTTCTGATCAGTCTGAGCGGCTCATTTCCATGCAGAATGTCTTATAAATCTATCACAGTGCAATTCAGGCTATTTTTGATGGATGGAGCAGCTATACAAAACAGTGGAAACAATGCAAGTGAGCGCAGCTAAACTTCGCTTCTTATTTCATATGCAAAGAGGGTGCATACATAGAAGTCATAAAGGCAAAACAACCCATTTATCATGATAATGAACTAAACAACGACCCTTTTATTGTGAAAAACATTACAAACAGCATCAGTGGAATAAATTAAATAATAAAAATATGTGATGTGACCCCTTCAAGTGTTTAGTTTTGCTTCTGTTATGATTACAATAGTTAAGCAGCTCATTTTAGACCGAAATGCACAATTATCGGCCGACTCAGTTCAGTTTACATTTCTTCATCTCGCAGAAGCTGTTTGTGTCCCTTTAAATTTTAGGACACAAATCAAGTTACATAATATTTAAGACGACAAACTCAAGACTCGATTTTGTGTTCAATTTGTCTGCCATAACTTTGTGGACTTGTGTGCTGTGATACTTACTAGTATTATGGCAGAGGACTAACGATTTAGACGGCCTCGATGTTAGCATGCACCTACTCTAATGACACGCTGCCTACATGACATTACGGCTTATCTCCAGTAAAAGAATTAGACTCAAATGAACAATATAGAGGAGCAATAAAAAACAATAAACAGTAGGAAAACTCAACTCCCCGCGCGCCTTTTTCCCACGAGCTCTCAGTTCGTTTCACTTCATCCAGGTGCTTCTATCTCTCATTCTCTCTCTCTCTCTCTGTCTCTGATTGAGTTCTATCTCTCTCTGTTACATTGGTGCTGTACGTGTGTATGTGTGTCTGAGTTGTGGGCGGCCTGTAGCCCATGGTGACACGTCTCTCATGTTCCTCTTCTTCCCGCAGGTCCCGGTTTGGCATTCATAGCGTACCCTAAAGCTGTTTCTCTGATGCCCGTGGCTCCGGTGTGGGCTGCCCTATTCTTCGTCATGCTGCTACTGCTGGGACTGGACAGTCAGGTCAGCTCACATGCAGACATTTTAAGGATCACGTGTGTGGTTTTTATATGATAGGAATGGCCAAAGTTTAAAATGCCACCCACAGAAATTTGTGAAATTACTCTGGAAAATAAAAATATAAAAAATATTTATTATTATTAGTTTATTTAAAGGGGTCATATGATGCGATTTCAGGTTTTCCTTTCTCTTTGGTGTGTTACAAGCTGATTGTGCATAGATAAGATCCCTGAAGTTGCAAAGACTAAAGTCTCAAAACCAAAGAGATATTCTTTATCAAAGTTAAGACTCTGCCACACCCCCCTAAAAC